GCATGACTGGCCAGCTAGCCACTGTCTTTGTTCATATATCTCCTGGCACAGTGCTAGCCACTGTATATGATTAATAAATGTTTGTGGAAATGAATGGAAGAGACTGGACAAAGCTGACCCCTTCACCTGTTTGGTCTGTTTGGATTAAGATCTGCCCATCCAAAGCCACGTGCAGTTGTGGGTCTCATCCCATTGATGAGCGAGACCTTTTGAGGTCCAATCAGCCTCCTCGTAATGGATCTCCTTCCTGACTTTGGACTTGATGTTAGGCCTGGGCTCTGCCCAGTTCTGAGGAAAAATCTGGACTGTCCTGCTGCTTCTTTCTTGGGATACTGAGTCTCATGTTACTCCAGGGTCTCAGGCTGGGGACCTGCAAGTTTTCCAGGCCCGCAAAATAGTGGTCACATTGGGAATCAAATTACTGCCCTTCTGGTCTGACCTGAGTTAGGTCTGCTAATCCTCCTGTGGGCTTGCCCCTAGTTGAAAGTCCCAGTAGACTGCTGCTGGATTCAACCACTTTCAGCTGATTAGCTCTGCCGGGGTTCAATGGGACTGAACAGCAGGCTCCTCCCCAGTCTGCAATTCTTGCCCTGGTTGTTCTACTACAAGACTCAGACTAAGCTGGAGGCTGGGAGCCCCCGCAGCCACTGCTAGCCTCTGAATTTGTTCCAAGCCTAGTTCACACCCCAGCCCATGGCCCCTCCTTATCCTGGTAGACTCTCTCCCTCCCCCACTCCACCTAGGGTCTGGACTTGGAACTGAGTAGCGAACAAAAGAGATGCCGGTTGGTCCCTGTTCTGCTTTTATGGGCCTGGGTCCTCTGGCTCTGGAGCGTGACCTCAGTCCTTTTTCACTTCCTCACACTGGAATGCCCACCCTGGCCAGACCCTGACCCTGGTGTCCACAGGCCTGACTGTCTTCCATTGCTGACCTAGAAGAGAAAGATGACACAGTGTGACTAATTCTTGGATTTTCTTGATCACAGCTTGGTCTAATGATCTCAGTCCTACATCTCGCGGAAGAAGTTGTGTTGGGGAGCTGAGCTATATCTCTTGCTTCTCTGCCCCATCCTCCACCCCTTTCCTTTCCTTTCCTTTTCTTTATAGTTTTTTAAAATTTTTTTAAAAATTTATTTATTTTTAGTTTTCACCATTCACTTCCACAAGATTTTGAGTTCCAAATTTCCTCCCCATCTTGTCCCTCCCCTCACCCCAAGACAGTGTGCATTCTGAATACCCCTTCCCCTAAACTGCCTTCCCTTCTATCTCCCCCCGCTTCTCTTATCCCCTTCCCCTTCCATTTTCCTGTAGGGCAGGATAGATTTCTATACCCCCCCTCCACCGCTTTTCTCAAGCAGCTCTTCATTCTCCTTGAGTACCTGGAGAGGGGAGAGGCGTTCCTCAAGTTCTTTCCTCTTCTCTCCTGGAAGTGTGGGCCTACCCTTCCTGCACACCCAGCAGCTCCTTGGCAGACATGTTCCTCTGGTCAGCCTCTGCAGACTTTTCTGCTCAGACTTGGTGGTGGTAAGGGCTTCTGGGTGGTAGATGCCTGTTGGCTGCACCTGGCAGCCCTCCGCTGGAATGTCAGCTCCCCAAGTTAAGTCACCTGAGTTTTTAACCATTCTCCCCAGGGCCTAGCACAGAGTGGGTACTCATGTCTCCCTTACATGTACCCAGTCCCAGGCCTGGTCCATAGGAGGCTGACTTGGTACCACACTGAAAAGGCAGCTTTGGACACCTCTGTGGTCCTGTGGGCAGGGTTCTCCAAGCTGGCTATGGGAAGCTCCGCACAGATCCCCGCCCTCAAGGAGAGCCAGCATTGTACCGATTGAACACCTGCTTTGGGCATATTAAAAAAAAAAACCACAAGGGAAAACTTCCTCTGCCCTCAGGGAGCCTCCATTCTGCTTGGGAGTAGGGGGTAGGTAAGACTCAGACACACAGAGGATCCCTGAGGAGGGGATGCTGAGGGCCAGTGGCTTCCTGATCCAGAGGGAGGCCCTGGGAAGGGCCATCCCTGCCATCAGAGGTGGGCAAGCGTGCTCAAACAAGGCCAGGAAGCTTCTTGGGGCTCTGTTCTGTGGGCCTGGAGGAGCCGAGGTCAAATCCTGCCTCCCGTGCTTTCTGGCTGTGGACTTTGGGAGAATCACAACCTCTGAGTCTTAAAGTTCCTCCCCTCAAAGTACGGGATGAATAAGTTATTGATTCGTGCTTTTTATCAGGGTCTCAGATTGGAGGCGGAGGGTATTGATCTGGGAAGAGTAGCCACAGGGACCTGGAGAGAAGGCAGCCCTATTGGGACCCCTGGCTCTGGTGCGACCTGGACTTAACATGTCTCCGCCTGGGGCAACTTAGTGGTGCAGTAGATAGAACATTGGGCCTGGAGCGAGGAAGACTCGAGTTCAAATCCAGTCTCAGACATGTGCAAGCTATGTGACCCTAGGCACGTCACTTCACTGCCTTAGTTTCCTCAACTATAAAATAGGGATAATAATAAGACCTACCCCCCAGGGTTGTTGTGAACATCAAATGAGGTAATATTTGTAAAATGCTTAGCACAGTGCTTGGCCCACACCTAGTAGGTACTTAATAAATGTCTGCTTCCTTCCACTGCAGGGCTAGGCTACAATATCTTCCACCTGCTGGAGGGTCTGCAGGCCCTCTCAGCCCAGGCCAGCTGCTGTCTCTGCTCCCTCCACTTTACTGACCTCTTCTCCCCTCTGTCTGTGTTGGAGCTGGCCCACACCACCCTCAGGGTCCTGCCCAGGCTGCACACCCTGGCTATCCGGATTGACCATCTGAGCCCGGACGACAGTCCCAGTGGCCCTGGGAACTCTAGCCCTGGGACAGGGCACGAGGACATTCCAGGTGAGGGGGTTGCAGAATGGGGGGATCTAGGCAGGCCAGGAGCCTCTGATCCTTGGCACACCACCCAGGACAAGTGAGACGATTTGCAGCGACCTCTGCCTTCAAGAGACCCCACCTAGTGTTAAGTGATGGATGTGGCTGGAAAGACATTGGCAAACCACTGAGATCTTGGGGTAACAGATGCAGGGCTGCAAGGGACCCTAGAGGCGATCAGGCTGGGACCCTCGGCAGATAAAGAAACAGGCTCGGGGCAGTGAAGGGGCAGAGCCTGGGGAGCTCTGTGCCCCACTCCATGCCTCTGAGGCTGGATGGCCACCTGGGCTCTGGGGACCCCTGTCCTCTTGTGTGGAGGATTATGATTCGATGCTCATTTCCGCCAGTTAAAGCCCCTATTCTGCAGGGTCCACGCTTCAGGACCGGCCTGGGGAGCCCACACGGCCGGCACTGTCCCACGCAGCCCCAGTGTGTAAGGAGGTCCGGGGCCGCGGGCCAGCTGCCCTCCCTGGGAGCAGAGACTGGCAGCTGCAGCCTTCCCCGCTTCTTCTCTTTCTGGCAGAGAACTGCCTGGAGCAGCTGGAGCTGGGCTTTCCCCGCAGGCCGCAGGCCAGCAATCGCCTGTGCCGGGTCCTGGAGGCATCACCTGCCTTGCGGCAGCTGGCCCTGGACAGTGCTACCTTCACCTCTCCCAGGGAACTGGGGTTGGTGCTGCAGACACTTCGAGGTACTGCCCTGCATGGGGGAGGGGACGGACAGGGGACTCAGGGTCCCCAGCGTGGGCTGCCCCACTCAGCCCCATGGGCTGCCTGCCCTCTCCCTCCACCCCCTAGAATGCAACCCAGCCCTGCAGAAGCTGAGCTTCCATGACATGAACCTTGCTGACTGCCAGAAGGAGGTACTCTTGCTGCTCCAGGACCCCACCCTCCGAGGTAAGCTGGAGAACTGGGAATAGGACAGGAAAGGATAGCGCATGGGACCTACAGTCAGGAAGATCTGGGTTCAAATCCCACCTCACATGCTTACTAGCTGTGTGACCTTGGGCAAATCACCCTCACTGTGCCTCAGTTTACCTATCTGTAAAATGAGTGGGTTGGACTCTGTTGCCTCTGATGCCCTTTCTAGCTCTAAATTCACTCTGTATAAAAAGGGGGCAAGAAGCTGTGGCCTGGGGGCAGGCTGGCCCAAGTATTCCTCTGACTTTCCGACAGAGCTCACCCTATCTTTCTGCCGTCTGCTGGAGAAGCGCCGGACTCACTTTCTGCCCAAGCTGGTCACGGCCATGAAGAGCAATTCCACTCTGAAGAGCTTCCGGGTGCCAGGGAACCGCCTGGGTGAGTGTAGTGGGGCTGGCCAGGGCTGACACAGGAATGGGCTGGGCAGCTCGGCCTCCTGAGAGACCTGGCCTCTCTCCTCCTCCAGGGAGCTCAGGCCTTGTGGCACTGGCTGAGATCTTCTCCAGTGACTCCTCCTCCTCCCTCTGCCAGCTGGACATCAGGTATGTGGTTGGAGCGGGGTGAGCAGGCCCCACCTCCCCTTCTTCAGGGCTCCTTTTCTGACTCCAGCCTTCTCCTTCCCATCCCAGCTCCAACTGCATCAAGCCAGATGGACTCCTTGAGTTTGCCAAGCAGCTGGAGCAGAGTCACCCAAGCCGTGGGACCTTCGGCCACCTCTGCCTCTTCCAGAACTGGCTGGACCAGGACCCCAGCATGACTCAGGAGGCCATCGGCCGGCTGCGGGCTACATTCAGTGTGGTTAGTGACACGTGGGACTCCTCCCAGGCCTTTGCCGACTATGTTGGTATGATGTGACTATGGCCTTCCCGGGATATCGAGGCCCCTATCCTAGGTTGGGATCCACAGGATTCCAGCAACGCTTCCCTCCAACCCCTACTCATGCCAGAACTTGTGGGCTAGGGTGTGGTACCAGAGGCCCAAGTTCTGGCCCAGGAGGGAAAGAGAAAGCAGGCAGGCCCTGGCTCCCCATCACACCTAGGCTGGTGGGCTGTAGCCTGCCCTGCTGTGCTCAGGGGGATCAAGGGGAAAAGTGACCCCCAGAGCCACCCTCCCTCCCCAGGAGCACCAGACTGAGGCCTGGATCCACCCAGAGCCCACACCATGCTCTCGACTCTGCCACCAGAGAGTTGTTAATGCCTTTATTTTTCCTCTGTGCCTTTCTACATTTTTAAAAATAAAAAATCTATTCTGCGTATCTCTGCCTTCCAGCTGTGTGGCTGAGTCTTCCCCCAGCTTTTGGCCAGTGATGGCAGGAGTGGTGCAGGCTGGGCAGCTCTGGCTCCTGGGGCAGCAAGCACAGGCTTTCTGCCCAGACCAGCCTAGGTGGCTGTAGTCATTCAGTGGCCTGGCCCAGCCTGGCCTTGGCCTCAGCCCCAGTCCAGCTCCGACCTAGGCCCAGTCCAGTCCCCCAACCCCAATCCACACCTAGTCCAACCCCAACCTAGGCCCAGTTCAGCCCCAGTCCCAGTCCCAGGACTCAAAGGACCCCACGCTGCTCCTCATGTGAGCGCTGGTGGAAGGCAAAGGTCACTGCAGCATCCCAGGCTGCCAGCAACACAGCATCTGGGACTCCCCTCTTGTCTGCACTGTGGTGCCACTGGGCCAAGTCAGAGGTGCAGTCGGAACCCTCAGCAGGAGGCCGGACCTGACGTCCATTCACGCAGCGACGACAGCGCAATCTGCAGAGACACGATGCAGTGCAGCCAGCTGGGCTCTGGCCCCCCCAGCTCACAATACCATGGACCTGAGCTGCCTGTGGCAGACTACAGACAGCCCCCAGGAGCACATCCCCGCTTCCCAGGAGGCAGCAGGCTCTCCTCCCCTCGCCACCTCCTTACTTGTCATGGGTGTCGCTGGGTGTGACCTCGTTGAGGGTGAACAGTTCCCGAAGCTCCCCCAGGGAGAAGTGACGTTCCACGTCCTGCTCTTCATCCACCACACAGCTGCTCAGAGCCTTCTTGTGAGTCTGTCGCTGAAAGATCTTCTCTTCAATTGTCCCAGCCTGGGAGTAGAAGGGGCAGGGGGAGTCAGCTCCAGCCAGGAGACTGACCCCGGTCCAGGCCGAGCCTCATCATCCATCCCCACCCGTGTTGGGGTCTCCTCTGCTGAGACCCAGGACATCAGGAGGCTGAAGTGTGACCCCTGTGGGGCAGCAGCAGAGAACTTGTGGCTGGGAGACAACATGACGTTGACCCAAGGTGTCACCAGCCCCCTAGCCCAGAGATCTTCCCCACCCTAGGGCCGAGGCCTTGAAGGCCAGGCAGAGCTCACCGAGAGCAGGCGGTAGATGTAACAGGTCTTCTTCTGGCCATCACGCCACACACGGGCCATGGCCTGCTCGTCGTTGGCGGGGTTCCAGTCAGGGTCAAACATGACCAGCCTGTTGGCCCCGATAAGGTTGAGGCCACAGCCACCAGCCTTGCTACTCAGCATGAAGATGAAGTCCGGGCTCTGGGGAGACAGGGAGGGGAGGGGCCTTGTCAGAGCATGCTGGGCTGCAGAGCCCTCTGGAGACAGGTGCACTGACAGCCTGCAAGGCCCCTGGAGAAAGACCAACTGCAGCAGAAGAAACACAGCGAGTCTCGTCCCCTCGCTGGCCCTGCCCTTGGCTGGAAGCAAGCAGGAAGGGCTCATGCCAAACCCTAGCTTGAAGGAAGCCTGAATAGGCCCTCCACAACAGGGAGCTCAGTACCCCACAAAACAGCTCTATGAAGCCTCAGCCCTCTAGAGCCAGGTAGAACACGTCTGATTTCCCTTGCCCCATGACATCCTTTTGAATACTTGAAGGCAATTTGCATGCCCTCCCCTCCCCCTCCCAAGCCTTTTTTTTCCAGTCCTTTCCTGACCAGGGGATTTGGGGAGAGGTCCTAGTAGCTGGGGAGACCAAGTAGAAGATTCAAAGGCAGGTACCCACTTGCATTCTTGTTAACAAAGTCCCAAGATGCCCCAGGGTGGCCGCAGCCTGGGACAACACTGAATGAGCCTGACCCCTCAGCCCTCGCTCCCACCCAGTCTGTCTCCAGCACATCTCTGTCCCTGTGGGGAGGTCCCTGAGCCTGGGCTCCATCCTCAGCAGCCTCCCAGCAGCCTGGTGGTGAGGCCGCGCTCTCGTCACCCCCAGTCTCTGGCGAGACGCCAGCTCCGGGCGGGTCAGTCTGCCCACTCACCGAGGGACTGTTGAATCGCTCCACGACCTTGGCTCGTTTCTTGATGGACATGGTGCCATCCAGCCGGACGTAGAGATACCTGTGCCCAGAGCAGGGGAAAGGACAAAGGTCAGCTCATCAAGAGAAGGTGCCCAGAGCCCACCCCAGAGCCCTGGCCGGGGCTGGCAAGCCCTCCTCTGCAGTGCTCACACAGGGGTGAAGTGGGCACAGTGTTGCCATGGATGGTCCCTTCCCACACGCTGGGAGAGTGGAAACAATCCCAGCTCTGCCAGGTCACAACAGACACTGGTCCCCATTTCTTCACTGATAAGACACAAGGAAAGCAGAAATGTAAAGAGAGGAGTGTAGTGATAATAGGGAGGGACCACAGGAACAGCCACTGAAGAAGGAGGGATGTTCTCCCAGAGACAGAAGCTGTTGTGAAGCATCTGAGGCAGTCACAGAACAAGCCAACTGGCTTGGCTTAGCCTCAGGACCGATGGGAGACAGGCTTCAGATACGAGTCTACAACAGGGGCTGCTGCCCGTCGGTGGAAGGCGCTCACACAGGCTGGGGAGCCTCCCGTCCTGGGAAGGAGGCGTGACAATCTGAGGTCACTCTTGGCTCTGCTGCTGATTCTGAGGTGTGGGGGGCCCTGAGATCCCAGCCCTGGCTCCATGCCAGTCACAAGAGCCTGCCTGACCACTGATGGGGAAGGGCCACGGAGCCTGGCATCACAGGACTCTGACCTGAGCAGCTCTAGGCAAAAGGGTGCCACGGGGAAGGCACTTTGTCCAAGCACGGGCTCTAGGAGACAGACGACAGTGGGTTCTGCCCAACAGAAGGGCCTGAGCCCTGGAACCAGGCGGTCAGAGGTGCCCGTCCCAAGCTAACTCGTACGAGGCTGGTCCCAGCAGGACAGGTGTGGCCCACCAGGGTCTAGGACGCACCTCCGGAGCCGGCAGAGCTTCTCAAACAGGTCCAGGGTCTGGGTGTAGTTGGACACCAGGACGACCTTGTCACTGCTGCTCCTTCGTGTCATAGCCAGAATATAGTCCAAGACCAGCATCTTCCCTGGGGAAAGATCCAAGCCGGGGACCTCGCAAAGGTCACGAGTATGGCCAGGCCCCCAGAGTGGAGGAGCCCAGGGCCCAGACCCAACACTCCCAAGAAAACCGAGGCAGGAAAGACAGGACCTCTGTGCAGAGGCAGCCATGGGAAGCCGTGGCACCAGCGGCAGGTGCCCCACACCCAGCTCTGCCATTAGCTGCCTGCCTGCATGACCTCGACCACGGCCCTTCCTGGGTCCCTGCGTCTCAGGTTATCTATAAAGTGACTTGTTGGCCAGGGTCAGGGGGCGTGGATAGATGGGGTGGGGGGAGCAGTCCATGAATCTGGATGGGAAAAAAGTCACCTCTTTGTTTTCACTTACCTCCAACTGAAATCAGGCATTCCCTTCAAGTATTTAGGCATTTACAAATGTGATTCTATTGAAAGTCCCTTGGGCTTTCCCAGGCTGCCTTGCCAAAGGGGCCCAGGACACAATAAAGGTTAAGAACTCCTGAACCAGAGGATCTCTAAAGTACCCTCCACTGTGAAATCAACACACACTTATTAAGCGCCTACTGTGTGCCAGCCCCAGTGCCAGGCTGGTGCAAGGGAGAGAGAGGGACAGAAGGGAGACTCCAGTCTCTGCCCTCAGGGAGATGATATGCATGTGCAGACATATGTACACACCCAGAATAACTGAGGAGGCAGTGAGGGCGCTAGCATCTGGGGGGACCCGAAAGGCCTCATGGAGCTGGGGGTGCCCAAGCCACATCTTGGAGGAAGTGAGGGATTATGGGAGGCCAAGGTGAGGAGGGCAAAGGGCGTGGCCACCGCAGGGGCAGAGGCAGGAGATGGAAGGTTTTGTGCGAGGGACAGAGAGAGAAGGCCAGTTCGGTATGTAGTAAGAAAAGTGATAGGTAACAAGGCTGGAAAGATGGTTTGGGGCCTGGTTGTGAAGGGTCTTAGAAGCTAAACTGAGGCTCTTATATTTGATGCAGGAGGTTAAGAGGTCAGACCTGTGCTTTAGGCAGCTAAGCAGAGGATGGATTGGAATGGGAGAGAACGGAGCCTGGGAGGCCAGTCAGGACGCCAATGCAGTAGACCAGGTGGGAAGGTATGAGGGTCTGAACCAGAGGGTCAGCCCATGCAAGAGGCTCGAGGCCTGAGCTGTACCACCCCCGAGGCTCTGTCTCTAAGCAGGCCTTCGAGCCAGCTCCCCACAGTGGCTGGCAGTGCTGTCCACAAAAAGAGCTTCTGCAGGAACCACCTCACCCCCACTGCCCAAGGCAGAAGGAAGCCCCTTCCAACAGGTCTCCTGGGGGAATGCCCAGACCCAGCCTCTGTAGCAACGGCCTCTCCCCTCCCTCCATTCCCTCCTGCCCCTTATCTCTGGGACTGCACCAGCCTCCTCTCTGGAGGGACTCTGGTTTAGGCCACATGAGCATTTCCAAATCCAAGGACTTTTCACCTCGACCACAAAAAAAGCAAAGCCCGGGAGGCCAGGGAGTAGGTTCAGACTTAGACCCGGACAAGCCTTTACACTTCATCCAGTCCAGCCTCCCTGAATTTTTTGGGGGGAGAAGGAAGGTCATATAGGGCACAGCTAGAAATCAAACCCAGGCCCCCAGAATCTGAACTGAGGGCTCTCTGCCCAGCTGCCTCCCCATCCAGGCTCCACGTTGCCCAGGCCTCAACTCTACCTGTTTTCCTGGTTGGCAAGACAGTCCTTGAAGTGCATCAGCAAGGTGAGGCCTCCCTCCCCTGTCTGCCCCTGGCCCCCCAGGCCACAAGCTCAATTCCAACCTCAGGCTTCCTCAGGATGACAGAGGACAGGGCAGCACTTACCTGAGAGCTGCGGCTCCACCGACTTGTAGCTGTAGCCAGGGGGAAATAAGTCGAGGGCTCCTGCAAAGCCTTCTTCCTCCTCCACACACTTCTCATAGATCAGGCCTGGGTCTGAGAGGCCAGGACACCGGCTCAGTGTTCAGAAGCGTCCCCCTCCGCAGGTGCCCACAGGCACAGCCCCCCAGCCCCCTGGAGAAGGCCCCCCCATCAGAATGCCCAGAGCACTCAGAGTCTGGCTCCCATAGCCCAGCCCCAAATTCCTCTGTCCGGCTCCACTGGAGGGGTTTTCGTTGGGTCAAACTTGTCTCCCCAGTGTAGAAGCTCCTCCATGGGCACCTCAGCGGCCCAACAGGGAACCAGTGGCATTGACTGAGTAGAGGTCGGGGGAGAGAAGGACACGGTCAGAACCACGCTTAAGGACAATCCCCGTGGCAGCAGTGTGGAGCGTGACCGGAGGCAGGAGGTGGTGGGGGCCGGAGCTAAGGCCTCGGTTACGGGAGCAGAGGGAAAGGCTGGCAGCTGGAGCTGCTGAGATCTGTACTGAATGGGAAGGAGGGCTTGTGAAAGTGGGAGGCCGGCAGGCGTGGGAGGGATGGGCCAGGAGGCAGCTGGAGAAAGGTCCACTCACGGTTACACAGCTTCTTCAGGGACGTGATGGAAGACAAGGACGACACGCTCATCTTGCCCGCTCTCAGCTCCTCCACGGGCTTGGCTTGTTTGAGAAATCGTCTGTACAGCTCAGTCTGCAGCGGAGTCAGCCTATAGCCCAGAAGAGCCCGGGGTGGGGAAGGACCCTGAGTGGTGGCCTGGTCTCCCCACAATGGCCAACCCCAAGCACCAGCTGGCCTCCAGGAGCCTGACGGCCCAGCCCCGCACCTTCAGGGAGCAGAGGGCAGCTAAAGCCCCTTGTGCCCCAAGGCCTGGTGACAGCCTTGAGATGGGACACTGAGGCACAGAAACCTAAGGCCACACAGCACAGAATAAGAACCTCCCACCCCCACCTTTCATCATTCACAGACACTTGTGTCTGTGTTTAGACCTTGAGTGAGCAAAGAGCTTTTCTTTTAAGATTATCTCGGGCCCATGGGATGGAGAGAGCCGGGGCCAGGGATGATTACCAGCTGAATGGCTGAGCCGGGACTCCCAGCAATCCCAGCCCCTGGTGGTCAGCACTCTGCCCCAGGCTGCAGCTAGCAGCCCCTCAACATAAAGGAGCCCCCTAGATTTGCAGGCCTGGGGTGTGGGGGCCTGGTATGCAGCATACCTGCAGCAGACCACCTGCTCAATTTTCACAGGCAGGTACTTGGAGAGGATGTCCGAGGTTCTCCGAATCAGACACCTGCAACAGAGACATCAGGACCATCAGAAAGCAGCAGGGTGGGGAGGCCTCCACCTCAGCTCTAGGGCCGTCCCAGGCCTGGGACGACCCAAGACCCCAGAGGCTGGGCCGTCCCCAATGACAGGGACGACGGGCATCACCCCAGCCTTTATCTCCCTTCACCCTCACAAAGCACCCCAGAGTAGGTACCTCAGGCCTTGTGAGCCTGGCTTTACGGATGAAGGAGCAGAAGCCCAGAGAGATTACAGCCTGAGGTACTGAGGCCACTGAAGCAGGACCCAAGCCCAGGTCTCCCTGCCTCGGGGTCCAGCGCACTACCCACCACCCCACATTGCTCCAACCAACATCCCAAAAAGCCACATCTGCAGGACTGGGAGCTCAACTCACTGCTCTCTCTGGGCTGTGCCAGCTAGTGCCTTCCCCTCTGAGGTCACCACCCACTGAGACGGGGTATATGTGGCACACATAGCTATTTCCACGGTGTCTCCCCTGCTAGACTGTGGACAGGCACTGTTTTTGCCTTTCTTTGCCTCTCTACAGCTTGATGCAGTGCCTAGCACGTAGCAGGCACTTAATGTGCCTCAGTTTCCTCACTTGTAAAGTGAGGGGGTTGGGCCAGCTTGAGGGAGATGGAGTTTTGGCAGTGAAGGCAGCGTAGCCTGTCAGGACAGCAGTCAGGTTAGGGGAGAGGGGTCATCACACTGCCCTGGTCCCCCTCACCTGGAAGACAAGGCAGGCCGGATCAGGGAGCTCTAGAAGCATCTCTGCCAGTGCTCGCTGACTTCCAGCCACCCCGGGGGGCCTTCCCAAGCCTTCTGCTCCCCAGGGAAGATGGCACTCAAGCTCACCCTGGCCCTCAAGGGCCTCAAGGGGCATCTGCTCCAGCCCTGCCCGGAGCCAGGAGGTGCCCCCAGAGATGACAGACACTCAGCATGAGGGCCCAGAAGGAGCTCCCAAGGCAGAGGCCCCTTGCCTCCAGGCGCATTACCTGTTCACGATGCTGACGAGCTCTCGGAGGCGTTCCTCCCCCTTCTGCCTGGCTTCTTCACTCGCATCAGCATCTCTGCCCTTTAAAATCGGCAGCTCAAAGTGCTTTTTGAATTCCTGGGCCGTCCCTAATGACAGGGGAGAGCAGGACAATCCAGTCAGCTGAGGGCCCTGAGGCGGCTTCTTGACATGCACCTCAGCCCCAGGCTTCTGAGAAGACAGACAGACAGACAGACAGCCAGCAGGACTGGACAAGGCCCCTTCCTCCATCCCCACCAGCAGTGCACAGCCCAGGAAAGCCACAAGAACAGCCACGAGTCCTGCGGTGCCCCATCGGAACAGCACCAAGGTGCAGGAAGCCACGGCCCTTCGGAAACTTTTTCTGCGTCCTTCCTTTTCTTAGGACCGGAGGACGGAAAGGACCAAGAGCCTGACCCAACTCCCTCATTTTAGGGGGGAGAAATAAGCCTTGCTCAAGCCCACAGAAGCAAGGTGTAGAAACAGTTCAGACTCAGCTCCTCTGATGCCATCTCTCTACCACACAGTGAGCTGGTCAGACGTTTCATGCCAGTAGGAGGGCCACCATCCCCCCTGCACCAACATTAGCCCAGGACTTAGGGGCGCATCAAGGGAGAGGCAGCCAGTTTTCCTCCGAGGCCAAGGTGAAGGACACGTGTGCCATCTGCACCAGCCCCACCACAAAGAGCACACGTGCTTTTAGGAGGCCAACGCTCTGGAGACAAAGCCCCACACAGGCCGGTGGTCATCCTCTGCTCCCAAGCACAAGCTGCTGAATGCAAGGTGGGGACAGAGGAGAACCAATTTCCTCTGATCCTCCTTGCCCAGCTACGCCAGGGAACTGGTGACAGCTGGGCACCACCCAAGCTGAAGGGCTATGGGAGGGCCCAGGGCTCCTACCCAGGATGCCAGAATTCACAAAGTGCACCAAGCTGAAGTACTCCAGCAGGTCATTCTGTATCGGGGTCCCGGAGATGAGCACTCGCCGGCTCGTGTTTAAGCTGTTCAGGGCCTGGTACGTCTGGTTCTCTGAGTTCTTGAGTCTGTGGCCCTGAAAACCAAGTGGATGACTCTCCACGCTGGGCCAGATCCAGGAAGAAAACAATGACTGGGGCAAATGTACAGTCTGATATTGGGTTTAAAAAAATCACCTTCCTAAGGCGGGGAAGGTTTCAGTGCAACTGAAAAAAGATTTGGGGGCTTTAGAAGACCACAAGCTCGGTGTGACAAGAGGGGGAAGGGCGCCCTGGAGCCAAGGACTGGCTCAGGAGCCTCTCATTAAAACCCCAAACCCAACCTGGCTCCTTTCCTGCACCATGGATCACCCTGAGGTCCACCCAACCACACAGGGGGCCTGGTAAAAACAGGGAAATCCCAGGTCTGGGGCTGGGACCATTCTGGAAAAGTGGAATTGCTGAATTATTCTGGCAGAAATTTTACTGGGGGAAAAACATTCTATTCTAGTTGAATAATGGTGGGAAATGACCCACACCAACGTCTCTTCCGAATCTGCCTTTTCTGTGCAGGACATCCTATTTAGGCCCCGAGGGAATACCGAGATAGACATGGCTCCTGCCTGCAGGAGCCCTGTGACCCTGGCCTCTCCTCTCTCAGAGGAGCTCCTTAGCTCCCATGGGCTCAAGTCTCATCTCTGAGAAAGACTCCCAGGTCTACGCATCTGGCCCTCGAATACCTCCCAACCTCCAGACCCATCCTGCTGGGATGTCCCACAGACATCTCAAATTCAGCTCATCCAAGGCAGATACCATGAGCTTCCCCTCTGATGTCCCAATTTCTGCCAAAGGCCCCACGTTCAACCCTAGGTATGAGTCCTCAACATAGTTCGTCACCTGCCCCCTTCTCTTCACTCTGTCCCATTATGTCCAAGCCTCATAACTCCCTCTGCCCCCAACTCTGCTCACCAACCCTCCACCCAGCTGTCAAACAGATGTCCCTTAGGCATCTGCTCAAGAACGAACTTTTCTGCCGTGTCCTGCATCTCCCCCCAAAGCTCAGCCTGTACACTCTTTGAGGACAGTCTCGGCCCCGGGTCGCAGGGGGCAGGGGTCTCGGAGGGCCCAATGTCATCCAGAAGAGAGCGCTGCCTACCTCGTCACAGATCACCAGCCCCACACTTCCTCGCTGCAGGGCTTCAGCATGCAGGCGGAATGTCTCGTAGGAGATGATGAGGATGGGAGAGGGGACCCTGGAGCCCCGCTGGTTCATGAAGCTGGCTGGGGTGGGGGTGGGGCAGAGGAAGAGCACAATGTGAATTCTAGAAGATTTATGGACAGCCCATTGTCCTCATGTCTAACTTGCCTCAAGAGGAAAACTGCTTAACAGACAGCTAGTTTAGCATGAAAACATCTTGTTTCTAGAATTCCCTTCTCTTTCCCCAAGTACTGTCTCTCCCGCCTTCAAGGCTGCCACCCCCACCTCCCAAACAAAGGGATGGGAAATCCAGCCAAAAAGCACATGTGGAAGTTTGGAGAATAGGCCGGGTACCACATGCATGTGCTCAGTCAGTACCTAATTTCTGGTCAATCTCCTCCTTGGAGCCCCCATCGATGGCGAGGGGCTGGATCCGGCCCCCCAGCCACTTGTGTACTTCATTGGACCAGTTCCTGACCAGGCTGGAGGGGGAGACCACCACAGCCTTGTCGATCTCAGGCTTGCCCTCAGGACTCTGGCGCAAGAGCGTCCACATCAGCGTGATGCACTGCAGGGTCTTGCCCAGGCCCATCTCGTCCGCCATGATGCAACCGTGGCTGCCAGGGATGCGCCGGCTGGTCACGCATTCCCAGAGAAACTTGACGCCCTGAGAAAGAGGGGCGTCCTGTCACGGGGCTGCTCAAAACAAGAGCCAAGGCCTGGAAGCAGAGCAGCCTCCCCTCACTCACCTCTCTCTGGTGGGGCCGTAAGATCTTACTGAGAATGGGATCGACCACCACATGGACAGGGAGCTTCTCCCTGAGAAAACAGGTCAGAGGAAATACAGAGTGAGGATATGAGCAGGACTACGACCCTCCGCAAATTTTTGTGGCTGCTGCTCCAGAGGCCCCTGAACAAGGCTGCCCAATACCTGGCCACTGACCATCCCCTACCCAAGGCCCCTCCCACGGGATAGAGGAAGGCCGGCCACTGACTGTACCCTACCCAAGGCCCCTCCCACGGGATGGAGGAAGGCCGACCATTGACCGTACCTTACCCGAGGCCCCACCCATGGGATGGAGGAAGGCCGGCCACTGACCGTACCTTACCCAAGGCCCCTCCCACGGGATGGAGGAAGGCTGGCCACTGACTGTACCCTACCCAAGGCCCCCTCCCACGGGATGGAGGAAGGCTGGCCACTGCCATGTGACAGGCTGCATCCCGCTATGGTTCACTCTCAGAGCACTGAGCAGACTAGCAGACTTTGATGCTGACACACCCACTCCCTCCTCCCACTACTCGGCAACCTTCCCAGTGCCCATCTCTGCAGGAGACAAGGGGAATGAGGCTCACACCCCCACCTCCCTCTTTTCCTTCCTTTTTTTTTTTTGGCTAGGCAATGGGGTTAAGTGACTTGCCCAGAGTCACACAGCTGGTGAGTGTTATGTGTCTGAGGCCGGATTTGAACTCAGGTCCTCCTGAATCCAGGGCTAGTGCTCTATCCACTGTGCCGCCTAGCCGCCCCCTTTTCCTTCCTTTTTCACCTTTCCTTTCACACTCCCCTCAAGAGCTAGTCTCTTGAGTCTCTCACTGCTCGTGTGCAGCCTCTGCCTGGCTGCCTCCCTCCCACCTCCCTCAGTCATCAGTCCTTGCCACCACTGGCACATTCACCTTCCTCAGGCACAGGCCGGACCACATAGTTCTCTTGTGTGAATACTGGGTAAGCTCTTTACTACTGCCTACAAGGCAGAATAAACTCCAGACGGCACAGCCTGGGGATCAAGGCCTCCCTCGGTCTGACTCTATTGCCCCATCCTGGTCCTGTTTGCCACTCCAGGCTCCAGCCTCACTGGAGGGGATTGGTCAGCCCCAGCCCACCTCTCACCTAAAACACACCCCTTACGTGACTGTCTGCTGAGCCCTGTACCTGGTGTGGCCTCCTCTGGGCAGCTCACTGCCACTCCTCTGGCCACCAACCTCCTGCCTGGGACTGTGGCCTTAATGGCCAAGCCCTGCGAGACTGTATGTTCCATGAAGGCAGGGCCTGGGCCGCTATTCACCTTGATCTCCCCAGCGCAGATGTTTGCAGAACTGAGCTGTCTACACTCTACTCTCCCTTCCCCCATGACAGCCAGGGCCCTTAGCCTTTGCTCCTAGCTCAGAGCTCCTGCAGGGCTGTCCTTTGGTGGGTGGCACAGAGAGCTCCCTCCTGTCCTCAGTCACTGGACTCGATCCCTTTCCCACTAGAGGGCTGGGCAGGGACCTTCTCCCAAGACGCCCCCCAGTGCCTCACATAAGGCCCCACATGGTCAGCAACTGGCACAACGATACCAGTCAGCCTCTCAGGAAGAGGATCAAAGGTGGCATCTGTCCTGGTGTCCACACGATGCTCCGGCCAACCTGTCCTGTTCTGAGCACCCAGGGAATGGACCAGAAACCTCATCTCTCTAGGACTCACTACCAGATGTGGAGACACTACCTCATAACCCTCTAATTCACTGCACCAGCTAAGAAAAGCCCAAAACCATGAGCTGCCCACACTCCAGGGCTCATTGCCAGCAGCTGCCCTGGCTCCAGCCTCACATGCAGGAGCCACGGGCCTTCTCCAGGTACACGGTCACTTCTCGCTGGACAATTTCCTTGCTGTCACGCAAGGAGAAGAGAACCAGGGCTAAGGGTGAATTCAATCACTCTCCCTGGGGAAGCCAATCACCAAAGGTCTCCTGGAGGCCGAAGGAGCAGCACTGGGTGTCTCCTGTGTTGTCTCAGAGCCCAGATGGGGGGAGTCCCAACCAAAGGCAGTGCTGCATCCTCCTTCCTTAATTAAGGCCTGTTTCCAAGGCAAAAATCTCCTCCTACTAAACCTCCTGGTTCTCTCCTCCCCATCATGTCAGGCCTCCCCACCTCAGCCTAATCACTGCTTTCCGTTCTGCATTCCCCTGACACTGACATCACCCAATCATCACTGCCCTATCTCTAACAAATTTTTCTTAAAGTCCAAACTATCAGTGACCATATGAAAAAATGCTCTAAGTCACTAACAATTCTAGAAAAATGCATGGCTCAGATTCTTATAACCTAGCCAATAGCTCACTAATTTTCAGACTCCTTAAGAGTCTGCCCAATATGATGGATGTTCTAATAAACCTTGTCTTTGGCTGAAAGAAGGCTTGGGTGGAATTCTTTCAGGTAGGACCTGCATGTCATGATCTTGGGGTCTCAGCACCCCTAAACCTCTAGACCTCATGATACAGTTCCCTGCCCAGGAATCTGCCTAACCCCAAGTTCTTCAGCCAAGACCACAAGGAGAAGAGAGTTTCACCCTTTACCCCTCACCTTTGATTTCCCCCTCCCCCACCTGGGAAAGGAAGGAGGGGGGAGGGGCAGTAACTACAGCATGGGTCCCCCCTGGCAACGGCCTTGGGCCCTAGGGCAACTTTTGCCTGGAAGCATCACTCAGGTTCAGCCCATCCTGCTCAAGACTGCAGGCCATTCACCTACAGTTGGTAGCAAACAGCTGGTACCAGCCAATGTCCCCCCATCATTCTCTGGATGCAGCCTGGGCTTTGTTCCTGTCAACACTTTTTCTTTGGGACCCCCTCAAGGCAGGGACAGCTCTACGTCCCTCGCCAGTAGGAAGCAGTTTCAGAAGCCAAGACCTTTGCCCCTTACCCCAAAAGAATTTGGGTCCCATTTGTTTGAGGGAGGAAATGATGAGGATGGGATCTAGACCCCAGAAAGGAAAAACCCTGGACCTTCACACAAGGCTAAATCTCTGGTGTTCCCCTGAGGCTATAATCCCATCAACTAGCCTTTCATTGTGGCTACACCCAATCTCCCAGTTCTCTGTTCCATTGTCTTACCTCCCTATGGCCACTTCCCACCCTTAATCCTATCTAGGTTTCATTCTCCCTTGGCCATGTGGTTCAGGCCCCTGACTTTCCATCTTTTTTCCATCTTTCCAGTCTTCTTCCACCTTACATCGCCTCCACACACTCTGGCTGTTCCTCCCATAAGACACTGTAGCTCCAGACTCTGGGCATTTTCTCTGGCTGTGCCCCCTGCCTGAAATGTCCTCCCTCCTCATCTCTACCTCTTGGCTTCCTCAAGTCCCAGCTAAAATCCCCCCTTCTCCAGGAAGCCTTTACTGATCCCTTTAATTCTAGTGCCTTCCTGCTGTTAGCTCCAGTTTATCCTGCCTACAGCTTGTCTGTGGTGATTGCCTGGGAGCCAGTAAGCTGCAGAGCCCATGTGCTGTACTAAAGTCATCCTACTTCCCTCAGAACCAGAGTCTCAGCCCTCAGTGGCATCAGGCTGCACACACACGACTCTCCTGAATGCAGGCATCTGGCCTGTTTCTAGGGAGCCCCATCTTCTGAGACAGCCCCTTCCCCACTCAGAGACAGCTTTCTGACCTCCAGCCTCCCTAGGCCTCACTGCTCCCTGCTCTGCCCTCTGGGGCCAAGCAGAGCCAGGCAGAGCCCTCCTCCACAGGCAGGCCCTTCAGACACCTGCAGAAAGGGCCATGTCCCTCCAGAGTCTGCTAACTAACCCCAGTTCCCTCAATGAGCCTCGTACAGCCGGATGTTGAGGCCTTTCTCGTCCACCTCCTCCAGTCACCCTCCAGCTCATCGATGGAATTCCTAACATGTGCTGCCCAGAACCAAACACAAAACTCCACCTGGGGCCTCTGGAGAGAGCAGAGCAGGAGGAAAGTCCTCTAGTACATTCAGCCACTGATTCTCTCTGTGCCTACTGGGGGCAGAGCAGTGGGAGAGTGCTGGAGGAGACAGAGAGTCAGGTCGTGACCCTCAGCCTCCTGGAGCTCCCAGCCAGCAAGGAAGCATCTACACAAAGATGCTGCACTCCAGTCAGGGACCAGCATGCATTAGACAGAAGGGCATAAACCCCTGGAGAGGGTCAAAGAAAAGAGGCTTTCTGGACCACCTCTAGAGCCAGGCAGCCCAGAGGGTACACAGAGTGGGAATGCCCCGAGGCCACCCAACGGCCTGGCCTCAGAGAGCAGAGGCCCAACAAACACCTTGACTCTCACCTTGGGCTCCCACCCACCCCTGCCCCAACCTCCCCACCCTCCCCACCTGTTCACTCACCTGTCCAGCTTTAGCTGATCATGGGCACTGAGAGGCGGCGGTTCATAAAGAACTAGAGCTCCTTCCTCTAACGGGTCATGGAGGGCATGCCGGAGCCCCGCCCGCTTGATGCCCAAGGCCCGGAGGCCGAGAGGACCTGCAAACAATCACAGGCCACAGTCACCAACTCTGCAGGCTGGCTTTTTGGAGGCTTCTCTCAGGCTCGAGGGGCAGTGGCCATCCTCAAACATTTCCCTAGTGACTTTTGTTTCAGGATCGCAGTGACTTCCCCAATATTGCACGCCCCCCCATTAAGGTGCCCTCCCTCCCAACAAAGAAAAACAGAAGTGCATGTGACATTCAGCAGCCACAGTCCCCGCAGTGGTAGGCTGGTGGCCTCTCAGCGCTGCTTGTGTTTACAGTCTTGGCGTCAGTCTAGCGGTTCCCCGGCGTGCTTTCTTTGGCCGCCCCAGGTTCTCTGGCTCCACGCATTCGCTATCATAGGCCGCATCACCCTCAGCCGGCCAGTCTCCACTCATTGGCCCTCCCTGCTTCTCGTCTGTTACCACGTGATGATGATTGTGGAGGCTCTGGGGCTTGAGGTAGGGCTACGCCCAACAGTGGGAAAGGACAAAGAATGCCCAAGAGCTACAGGGGATGGCACCATTGCTCTCTCATACCAACAGGTGCCCTCAGCCTTCGCTTCACTTGGAGGAAGGTGAGGCCCCTTCTCCCCACCCCCAGGCTCTCCCCGGGCCACAGGGGGGCCCACCAGCACCAAAGGAAGGGGGAGGGGTACAACAGTCCAGTGGATCCCCCACCCCCACGGGAGAAACTGGACCAGGAAGGGATATGAAGGAGAGCGGGCGTGGCTCTCCTCCGCCGCAGCAGAGGCCTCTGGGAGCTGTGCTGGTGCTTCCTTCCACCTGAATACAGGTGTGGTCAACGTGCAATAACAACAAGACATTTCCACGAGCACTCTACATGAATATCTCATTTCAGCACCAACATTGGCAGGTAAGCAGTGTAGTTACCCCCATTTCACAAATGAGGAAACTGAGGTTATAAGAGGCAGTGAAGGTTTTAATGCATCCAAGGACCTGGGTTCAAGTCCCTATTCTGTGATTTACTGTGGGATCCTCAGCAAGTCTCCTACCCTTTCTAGGCCTCCCTTTTGTCCTCATTGACCTCTAGATGCACGACCCTCTTGTACATGATCACCTGCCCACCTGGGGCAGGATTTGAACCTAGGTCTCTGGGAGCCCAAGCCTCCTTCCCTTTTCCCATGGATTCTTGCCTCCAATGGGGAGGAAGTAAAGCTCCCAGCACGGACAGAAGCAGGGGGACACACATGGCTACATAAAGGCGGCTGCACAGATGGTCTATTGGCCTCCTTACCACAAACCTCGCACAACAAAAGCCCAACACAAAGGCAGAGTTCCCACACCTCTGCGTCTGTGCTAGCCACACACGATGGACACAGCGCGCCCAAACGCACTCTCCAGTTTACCTTGGTAATTGGGGATCGGGACTTTGAAGGGCTTCGACAAGATGCTCCGGATAAATGCCTCCTGAAGGGGGAAGAGGAGCACACAGCATGTTAGCGGCTGGTCACGCTACCTCCTGAAACAGGGCGCAGAAGGGAGTGAGGCCAGGCGCGTCTGGCCAGAGCTGCGGCCCTCCAAGCACACCAGGTAAATGCAATGACCCATGAAAACATATTTGACTCCCTACAGGACCTTCTGTGTATTTCGCTTTTCAGCGAGATGCTGCAAGGGACAGAGCAAGGGATTGGAGTCAGGAAGACCCAAGCTCAAATTTAGTCTCAGACACTTACTAGCTGTGTAACCCTGGGCAAGTCACCTTCCTGCTGCCTGCCTCAGTTCCTTCATCTGTAAAATGGAGCACCTACCTCCCAGGGTTGTTGTGAGGCTTGACAGAGCTATTTGTTAGGCATCTGGCAAAACCTTAAAGTGCCACATCACCCGGGGCCACCTCCAGTCCTGATCTACATCTGGCCACTAGGCCCAGACGGCTCCAGAGAGAGTGAGGCTGGTGACTGCACAGCCCTGCCTCACTTAAATCCAATTCACCTGCATGTCGTGGCATCACCTTCCGATGTCACGGTCCTCTTCAACAATGAAGAACAGACAACAGAGGGCCGTGTGAACACCAGCTAGCATTATTTAAAATACTGAACAACATAACTGGGTATTCTAGAGATGGCTCCCTCAACCTATCAGCTGCCATCTGTCTCCCTCTCGAGGTGTGAGAGTGGGAAGGGGCAGAGGGGAGATGGTCTGCTCAAGGCCCCCCAAGAGGCAGCAGAGCCCTCATGGAGCCCAGGCCAGCCTTTCTTTGCCGCTACCCTATCCCTGGGAGGAGCTGACCCTGCTGAGCTCTGCCCCCCTCCTCCACGCCATGCCTGGATGGCATCGCCTCTCAGGGAGACAAAGCACAGCAGCTGCCTGCCCTTTACACAGGCTCTCACACTGGCAAAGTGCTAACATGCTTCACTTGAGGGGGATCAGCAGGAATTTCTGTGGAATTTCTTGTGGAATTTCAGGGTTGGCCTAACCCCATTCCAAACCTCTTCTGACAGAGATGGGCACCGTCCATCGGCACCCCTGACCTCTTCTATGAGAGATGGGCGCCATCCATCGGCACCCCTGACCTCTTCTACGGGAGATGGGCGCCATCCATCGGTACCCCCAAGGGGCTCTGTAGAAGTAGTGGCAGAAAGGGTCCAATGGAAAGGCTGGTGGGATCACTGAACTCGACAATCTGACCCGGTCTTGGAAGGGCTGGTCCTCAGCTACTCACTCCCACAGTCTGTGTGAATCTATCCAATTTCACTACATGTAGCTCCATCCTTGCCTCCACAATTCCTCAAGGCTCCTTCCAAACCCGTTCTACAGTAGCCATGAAGGTCAAGGCCATGTTCTTCCCACATGCACCATGGAAATAGACTGTGGCTTTGACCTCTCACCCTGCTCCATCTTAGGGGGGACAGCAAGAATTTGGGAAAAGAAACGCACATCTTAAAAGCCCAACCTCGTCCCCCACCCCAGGTTCTGCACTCCCAGTTGAGGACCCTCTGAGGAAGAGCAAGCCGGGCAGGGGCTCGCCCATAAACCGTCTTAAACAGCACGCACGGCCGGTTTAACACGGATTCCCCTGCTGGCTCCATGTCGAGCAGCCGCCATTCCGGACATGCCAGGCTTCAGGACGTCAATTACCACCTTTTGCCCCAAGACATAGATTTTTCACTGGGACCAGGCAGAGCCTCTCCAGGAGCAGCAGCTCCAAATGAGGGCTTGGCTCTGTGCCCACCCCTACCCCGGGGGTAATTACAATATTCAACGAAGCGCAGCCCTGCTCCAGCACATCAGCCAGACGGTAACGGGAGACCCGAGAGCAGAAGCCCTGAGAGTGATCTTTAAGGAGAATGAAGTATGGTCCGAAGTGGTAATAGGCAAAAAACCTCCTCTCGGCTACAGGGTCGTTCAGGAACAGCAAAGTGAGCCTGTGCCACAGAGGAATTCCTGCCTTTGTACTGCAGCCCTCCTCTCGGCAGACAGGCGCTGATTTTCATGAATTTCTAGTAAGCTAATGCATTTTAAACGGCCGCTGCAAAGTCATGAATATATTTCGCTAAAGAGATGGAAGGGGAATGGGGAGGGCCGAGGGCTCACTCCGGAAATTAACATGATTGCTAAGATTATGAATAGCAACGGGGGGGGGGGAGGCGGGGTGCCATCCCCTGCAATCTGGCCTCCACCGGCCACGTTCACGTTTCTTGTTCAGAAGCAGCATTTTCACTTTGCCCAACTGTAGGCTTGTGGGTGTATGGGGAGGGGGCTCCGCCTAGCACCCTCCCACAACACAGATTTTGAGCCTCCTATGACTTACAGATGCTTCTCAAGAAGGGCTGAGCCCCCAGATTTCACCGCCCTCTGGCCAAGCAGCACTGAAGCCCATCGGTGGGGGACACTGAGAATCAGCAGCAATTCATCAGTGAGAATGAGGCGAGTGTGTCAGTGCAAGAGTGAGGCGGTCCCTGCCCTCAAGGAGCCTACATTCTGCATTTACAGATGAGAAATCACCAGACTCATACAAAATAAATGCAGTGATGGAGGGGCAGCGCAGTAAACAACAACACCTAGGGGGCCCAGGGAAGGTGAGCTGCATCTCAAAGCGAGGCAGAGGTCCCAAGAGGCAAAAATGTGAAGGCAGAGCATTCTAGGCAGGGGGAACAGCCCAAGCAAAGGCAAAGAGGTGGGAAACAGGATGTCACATGCCAAAAACACCAATGAGGCCAGTCTGGCTGCAGCATGAATGAACGAGGGAGATGAGTTATCAGCCCGAGAAGAGATGGGCTTTACACACCAAGCAGAGAGTTTGTATTTGATCTTAAGGCAGGGGTCCCAACCCTCTTCAGTTTTCAGTAACCCAACCCCCCCCATCCTCTGTTCAGTGAAAGGAAGAAAACTCTTCACTTTACCATGCCCAATCACAAAAGAAATAGAGATTGATTTCAACAGGATGATACAATTATTTCTTAATCTTCCCTGCGCCCCTGGAATGCCACCCCAGGATGGCAAGCCCTGCCCTAGGGCCTACAAGGAACTTCTTGAGAGGAGGAGTGACACGGTCAGCCTGCAGCGGACAGAGAATGGACCGCAAAAGGGAAAGGTGAGCTAGAGAGAGGCCCAAGAGGAGGAGAGGGGGAGGGTCATCGTGGTATGAGTGGGGAGAAAGGGGCGGTTTGGGGACAAGCCATGGCAAGAGCTTGGTTCTGGAGGGGCCAGCTGAGTGAGAGCAAGGCGTCCAAGACGATTCCTAGGACACGAATATGAGTGACTGAAAGGATGAGATACAGAATTAGGAACCATGTGCCTAGAGATGGGAGCCGAGGCCCAAGGATCCAGGAGCCAAGCAGGAAGAGAAGGCCTGAGGAAGCAGGGGTGGCCACCAGCCCGGAACACTGAAGAGAGGCCAGGGAGGATGCCGGCTGATCAAGACGGGAAGCTAACACTCAAGGTGTGTGACAGGGAAGCCTTGGAACTGCTGGGGGGAAACCAGATCATTGATCAATGAGGAGTTCTGGGCGTGTCATGTAGCGCGAGCATCCACGGGACAGTGGAGAACAGCAACACTCTGGGGTGAATTCCTCCTTCAGCGGCACAATGACAGCAGAGAAGGAGGGGGTGGTGGAAGTAATGAGGCCGACAGCTTTGGGAAGGGCTGAGGAAGGAGAGAGATGGAAGGACAGCTCTGGACCCTGGAGCTGGAGCGCTCAATGCAGAGCGCTTGGGCCGTCCCGGCCCGGGGGGGACGGGGGACTCCCCAAGAGCCCTTCTCTCAGGCTCAACAGCTTGTCAGGCCAGGTGAGAGCCGGACATAGCGTCCCTCCATCTCCGAATGGAGAACCTGCATGTGCTGTCCAGGCTTTACACGCCCAACGCGCATCTTCAGCCTTGTCTCCTGCCCTTCTCACTAAACCACAGCAGAGAAGGCCAAGTACCCAGAAGGAAGCGCCCAGGGTCAGGGCTCAGGAGCCCTGATCAGTCACAAGTCTAATGACAAAGCAGCACAAGTCAGATCACTGCCAGCCGCCAGCCAGGCTGCTGGACAAAGTCAAGGACTCCGCGTTAGGATCATCACTAAGGCACGTAAGCTTGGGCCCAAACAGATACACACACACACACACACACAGACACTACACATACTACACGCACACAGAGACACACACTACACACACACACAGAGACACACACACTACACACACACACACACAGAGACACACACTACACACACACACAGACACACACACACTACACACACACTACACACACAGACACACACACTACACACACACAGACACACACACACTACACACACACACACACACAGACACACACAGACACTACATACACACAGACACACACACACACTATATACACACACACACACACACACAGACACAGACACACACACACACACACACACACACCCAGAAGAGTCAAGCAAAACCACATCCGAGGTCCACCTTCCCCACCTCCCGCCTGTGGCCTGGCCAGAAACCCTCCCTAAGTGACTTACATGTTGGCTGCTGTCCAGGCACTGAGGCCGATTCGTTAGCTGAGTCAGGGGTTTCCGAAAAGGTGACAAGAAACAGTCCCGGCTATTCACCTCAATGCTGGACTTCCGCCTCTTCTGAGTCTAGGAGAGAGAATCAAGGCCCCAGAGGGCAAGTGTATGACTGGGATGCTTGAGAAGCAGCAAGTCGGGAAGAGGAGCCGCCTGCAGGTGACAAATGGTCGGCACCAGCCCTGGGTTTTCGTGTCTGTCAGTGTCAGCTCCATGGGGCAGGGACATCAGTCAGAGCTAACAAGACCTACCCTAGGAAAATAAGAGGAAGGGCCTTGATTCTAGGGGTCCACAAGCACTCTGTGCCCACCTACCCGTCCAGTCATTCTGCTTAGGGTCTCGAGTTCTAGCAGTGGCTGCTCGGGGGGGGGGGGCACTGCCCCACTGCTGAGGGGGTGGGGGCAGCCTCCCTTTGAAGGCTGCCTGGATCCCTGACGGCCACACACAGGCCCAGGAGGAGCCTCAGCCTTCCAGCAGGTGGGCTTATTGAAACCAGGAGCAGAGGCCATGTTCCTTTATCAGGTCATCCCCTTTATTAGGCACCAGCCACACAGGAGGTGCCATGCCCTGCACAGGCTGCCCTCCTCTCCTAGAAGCACAGGAAGGACACTTCCCCATAGGATTTCTCATCAATGCACCTGTCTTGAGTGCCAGAGACCACTCCTCTCCCTGGCATGGAGTTCATGAATCCATGATCCACCAACGTGCCTGCCCTGGGAAGGCTCCAGGCCTCGAGGGGACAGGATCATGCTGGGGGAGGGGGACGCATTTCAAACTGGGCCTGGGTGCAGGCCAGAACCTAAAGTTGCCCAGATTTCAAGCCTGCCAGAATCAGGTCAACCCAACCCACGGCTGTTGGGCAGCTTCTGCTGTGGGCAGGGTTATAGTTGGGGGGGGTGTGGTACAAACAGCCCAGGAGATATGGGAGCTTTTTTCAACCCCTTCCTCAACCACGCCCCTATTCAAGCCCAGGCTCTCCTCCTTGCCCTCACTGGCCACCCAGGCTAGACCTCCTGCCGGTGCCTCTTCTAGTCCACCCAGTCTGCAATGCCCTGCCACTCTCACCATCCCGAGCCCCTTCCCTGATCCTTCCCCTCCCTGAGCTTCTAGAGCACTTCCTGCCCTCCCTCCCTGACCCCTCCTTCTCCACCCCCTTCATTGGGCATGTTCCCCGAGGCTCAGCCCTAGGCCTCCTTTTCTCCTCCCTCTTCACCCTCTCTCAGTTTCCCCATCAGCTCCACCTCTAAGCAGGGGCTCCCAGATCTCTAGAGGCAACCCCTGTCTCTGCCTGGCCTTCGGTCCCACTATCACCAGCGCTACTGGACACTGCAAACTGGACATCCAGGAGGTAGCTCCAATTCAACACGTGCAGATTGAACGAATCCTCTTTCCTCCCTAATTCTCTCCTCTTCTGCCAAAGGTGCCCCCATCTATCTGGGCCCTCGGGTTCATAAACCCCATGTTCTCCTGGAGCCCTCTTCTCCTTCCCCCTCCTGAAGCCGTCCCTCCCTCCCCCTTCCCCCATTCAGCCAGTCAGTTGCCAAATCCTGCCATTTCCACAACACTTCTCACATCCGAACCCTCCTCTCTGTCCACCAGCCACTGCCTGAGCTGGGCCCTCATCAGCTCACACAGATCAGCCTCCTCAAGGATCTCCCTGCCTCAAGTCTCTCCGCTCTAATCCATCCTTCACTCAACCACAAAAATGATTTTGCTAAAACACAGGTCTGACCACGTCACCCCTACTCAATGTAAAACCCTGTTTCCGAAGCCCTTCATCACCTAACTCCCCTCCCCTCACTTCCAGCCTTCTCATAGCTGGCTCCCCGACACGACCTCTTGGATCCAGGGACCCTGGCCTCCTGGATGCTCCACAAATGAGACCCTCCACCTCATGGCTCCAGGCATTTTCTGTGGCTGCCCTCCCCAGGGCCAAGCTGCCTAGCCTCCTTCAAGTCTCAGTTTAAATCCTCCCTTCTACAGAAAGCCTTTTTTAATCCTCCTCATTCTAGCACCTTCCGTCTATCAATCACTTCCAATTTGTCCTGTCCGTGTTGTTGTTCAGTCTTGTCTGACTCTCCATGACTCCATCCAGGGTTTTCCTGGCAGAGATACTACAGCAGTTTGCCATTTCCTTCTCCAGCTCATTTTACAGATGAGGAAACTGAGGCCAACAGGGTCAAGTGACTTGCCCAGGGTCACACAGCTAGGAAGTGTCTGAGGCTGGACTGGAATTCAGGACATGAGTCTTCCTGACTCCAGGCCCAGTCCCCTCTGCACACTATGGCACCACCTAGCAGCCCACAATCTTGTCCAGAGCGTGTTTCTGCGTAGTTGTTTGCTGGTGTTGCCCCCATCAGACTGTCAGTTCCTTAAAAGGAGGGACTGTCATTTACCTCTTTTTGTATCCCCAGGCACAGTACCTGGCATATAGTAGGTGACTAATAAATGCTTACTGAGAGCCAGGATTAAAGTCTACTTTCACCACACCGGCAATGCCTTTTAAGAAACAAAATTTCATTTTTCCTAGCGCACAAAACTCTTATCTCCCAACTCCAAGCATTTTCTCTGGCAGTGCCCATGCCTGGCATGCCCTCTCTCCTCATGGCCACTTCCAAGTCTCAGCTAAAGTCCCTCCTTCCTTCTACAAGGAGCCTTCCCCATTCCTCTTTAGTCTTAGTGCCTTATTTTTAGATTATCCCAAACTTCTGCTGCTTAGTGCACGTTTGTGCATACACAGCAATTTGCATTTCATCTCCCCCATTAGACTGTGAGCTCCTTGAGGGCAGGGCCTGCCCTTTGCCTTTCTTGGTATCCCCAGGGCTAAGCACAGTGCCTGTCACAAAGTAAGCACTTAATGAATGCTGCCTGGACTGGATTTTCCAACTCCGCGGCACTGGGTGTGTTCACAGATGCCACGGACATGACTTTTGAGAAGGGCACAAAGGAGCTAGGCCTTACCACCGACTCTGGATGCCAGTCTTCTTCATCAGAAGCACTGCCCTCCGACTTCCTCTTGGCAAGCTGACTCGGAGCCAGGCTCCTCCTCTGCAAGGAGAAAAGGACAGAGGTCTACACAGGGCTCCAGGTCCTGCCTGAGTCACCATATGGTAAGGAAACAACGGTGAGTTCAGGTGTCTCAAGGAAGACGCAGCAGATACATGCATGATCAATACTCACCATCCTGACTCAACTGTGGTGGACCCTTAGGTCCCCATGGATCTGACGGCCTTGAGAAGTCTAGCTGCTGGGAGATCTGGGCCTATGAGAAGGGATGACAACGGTGGTTGGCAAGGGGCACATCCCACTAAGGAGATGTGCATTCAGGCACGGACAGAGGAAAATAAGTGGAGGGAAAGATGAAGACTGGGAAGAACACTAGCTCCTGAGCTATCAGCAAACCCAAGAGCAATCATTCAATAACAGGCACTTAGGCTCCTCGGATTATTATATTCAGAGCTAAAAGGGGCCTCAGAAGTTACCGAGTCCAAATACTTAAAATATATTTTACAGATAATTGCTTGGGGGTTTTGTATTCCTGATGCCTAGCACAGTATCTGGTACATAAAAGACATTTAATATTTGCTAGGTGATCTAAGGGACTTGCTCAAATTCACAGAGGTAGGCAAAATTTGAACTCAGATTTTCTGAGCACAGAACCAATGCTCTTGAGCACCTACTCTATGTTTTTCCAGGTCACGGTGGCTAACCGTAGGTATCCCCCAACGGGTTCTGTCTCAGGTCATTGTTCTCCTCTATGCTATCTACCTCCCTTGGTGATCCCGTCAGGTCCCATGTCTATACACAAGATTCTCAGGTCTATTTATCCAGTCCTAAGCTCTCTCATGAGCTCCAGCATCAAAGCTCTGACTGCCTGCTGGGAATCTCAGACTGGATACCCTGAAGAAGTCTCAAACTTAACATGTCCAAGACTCCCTCCCCCATGCCCCAGGCTCCCACCTTCCCTATAGTAATACCCAGGCCCTCAGGCTCACAGCCTAGCAGTCATCCTGGACTCTTCACTCTCTCACCACCCGTGTCCAGGCCTGTCCATTTCATTTCTTCAGCATCTCTTGAATATGCCCTTCCCTTTCCTCTGACACCACCCCCACCCTGGTGCAGGTCCTCAGCACTTCACACTACTGTGACAGCTGCTGGGGGGTGTCTGCCTGCCTCGGTCTCTCCCACTGCCCTCCATCCTCCACTCCCCAAGTGACCTAAAGCTCAGATCTGATCTCGTCACTTCCCCCCCACTCAGTAATCTCCAGTGGCTCCCTATAGCCTCCCAGAGCAAATACAAATGCCCTGATTTGGCATTCAAAGCCCATCACAACCTCACCCCTCCTCCCTTTCCAGGCTTCTCTCCTTTCTTCCCAATAAGTATTCTTCCATTGGCCTCTTGATATTGGTGGTATTGACTTCTTGGCTCTTCCTCACCCAGAACACTCCACCTCCAGACTCGGGAGCCTTCCCTGGCTACACCCCATGCCCGGAGCACCCTCCCTTCACCTCCAGTCTTCCTGCAAGTCCAGGCTAAAATTCCCTTAATTCTAGGGCCTCCCTGTTTGAGGGTCCCTGACTTATCCTGCGTGTTTTATATGTACACAGGCCTCGAATGGTGTCTCCATTAGACCTCCAGCCCTTCCAGGACCTGTCTTTGTTTCCCTTAGCGCAGAGCCTAGCATACAGTAGGTGCTTAATCAGTGCTTGTGGACTGACTATCAGTCTCCTCCCAGGAAGAGGATCCTGCCTGTCCCGGGGGCTGAGGACAACTCGAGAGAACTTTAGGCTGACCAGGGCCTAGGAAGCTGGCAGGGGTAGATGGTGTGTGGAAGGAGGGGAAGGGGCCTGGGTTCAAATCCTGCCTCTGACACTAACCAGCTGAGCGTCAGGCCTTTTCCCCTCTCCGGGCTTCAGTTTCCCCAGCAGTGAAAAGGGGGGTCTAGATGACTTCTGGGGCCACCCTCCCAACGACATACTCATGACCCTATGACCCCACGACCTCTCCTCACCCCGCAGCCTCAGTTTCCCTAGCCGTAAAATACGACCGCAGCCCTGGCCGCGGCCTGCTTTCGGTCCGGTCCCGGTCCCGCCCCTGATCCCGCTCTCTGTCCCGCTCCCAGGCCCAGCAGTGGGGTCATCCCGCCCCGCGCTTCCGGCCCCACGCTCCCGCACCCCTTAGTTACCGCCTCTCGCAACCCGCAGCACCCGCTGGAGCCCGAATTCCCGCCTCCGCCGAGCTCGGCCAATCGGGTGGCGGATTACCCAACGTGGCCTCCCATTGGCTGCGTCTCCAGCAAGCGACACAGGCTGGGGGTGGGGCCAAAGGGGTGCGGGGCCGGAGCGAGAGTGACGAAGGTGAAGCGGAGGGGTGCCGCAATGCGCAGGCGCAGATGGACAGTGGCGTTAGTCTGGTCAGAGCCTGGAGTTTTTTGTTTTTTGTTTTTTGTTTTTAATAATTAATTTATTTATTTTCAGTTTTCAGCATTCACTTCCATAAGATTTTGAGTTTTAAATTTTCTCCCCCTCCCCAAGACAGCGTGCAATCTGATATAGACTATATATACATATATATACTCATGTTAAGCATATTTTCCCATTAGTCATGATGTAAAGAAGACTTAGAACCAATGGGAGGAACCACAAGAATGAAGCAATAAAACAAAACAACAAAGGAAAAGGAGAGCAATAGTATGCTTCCATCTGCATTCAGACTCCACAGTTCTTTCTCTGGATGTGGACAGCAATTTCCATCATGAGTCTTTTGGAGATGTCTTAGAACCTTGCATTGCTGAGAAGAGCTAAGTCTATCAAAGTCAGTCATCACACAGTATGGCTGTTACTGTGTACAATGTTCTCCTGGTTTTGATCATTTCACTCAGCATCAGTTCATGTAAGTCCAGGTTTTTTTGTTTTTGTTTAAGTCTGCCTGCTCTTCATTTCTTATAGCACTGTAGTATTCCATTACATTCATATACCACAATTTGTTCAGCCATTCCCCAATTGATGGGCATCCCCGCAGTTTACAATTCTTAGCCACCACAAAAAGAGCTGCTATAAATATTTTTGTACATGTGGTTCTTTTTCCCATTTTTATGATCTCTTTGGAGGAAAGCAGAAAACTGGGAAAGAATTTTTTTTTGTTATTTTTGGGAAAGAGTTTTTACAGTCAGCATCTCTGATAAAAGCCTCATTTCTAAAATATATAGAGAACTGAGTAAAATTTATAAGAATACAAGTCATTCCCCAATTGATAAATGGTCAAAGGATATAAACAGGCAGTTCTCAGAGGAAGAAACTAAAGTTACCTATAGTCATATGAAAAAATGTTCTAAATCACTACTGATTAGAGAAATGTAAATCAAAATGACTCTGTGGTACCACATCACACCTATCAGAAACAGGAAAATGATCAATGTTGGAGAAGATATGGGAAAATTGGAACACTAATGCATTGTTGGTGGAGTTGTGAACTGATCCAACCTTTTTGGAGAGCAATTTGGAACTATGCCCAAAGGGCTATTAAAATGTGCATACCTTTTGACCCAGCAATAGCACTTCTAGGTCTGTATTCCAAGGAGGCTGGAGTTTTTGACTGGGCAGCGTCCTTTCAGAGAGGCTCACTCGCCTGCCAGCCCATATAGGCTGGTGAATGTTCACTCCTGCCACTTCGTACCACAGATGGGACAAAAAACAGAGGCTTCCTTCCTTTTCATTCCTTCTGTCCTGTCCCCCTGTTAGGCAATTATGGGGGACTAGGGAGACAATTAGTATAACAGTGAGAGGCAGGGATACCTGTAGAGGCTTGGGTTCTAGCCCTTCTCTAACACGTTCCATCTGTGTGAACTTGGACAAGTCACTTTACTTCCCCGGGTGTCAGTTTCCTTATCTGTAAAATGAGGAAATTGGACTAGGTGGTCTCCAAGGTTCATTCCACTCCTAAACCTATACCGAGGTTTAGGAGTTATAAGGAGCATCAGGCAAGCTCTCCCAGAAGCAAAGTAGGAGAGCTGCAGTCAATCTGCCCTGCCTGAGTCTGTGCTTCCACTCTATTGTATATGTGCCTGTCTTGGAAGTCTGTAAGCCTTTGGGGACTGCCAGGGGTCTTAGACTCAGAGAATGCCAGAGTGCTGGTTAGTGCTGACTCTTTTCCCCATCTCCTGAGCCCTGCCCTATTTATTCTCATGCACATCACAGGTGTTCAGTCCAACAAAGGGTAGTGCCAAGACTGCTGGCTTGGGAGTTAGAGCACCTGGTTTTGAATACCTGTTCTTCCACTTGCCATGTTATGACTTTAGGTAATTCACATCTCTCTGTGCCTCAGTTTGCCCATATGTTAAGAGTAAAAATTTCCCCAGCTGTAAAGTGATGGATGGTCCTTCCAGCTTTTTATCTAATATTCCGTGACTCTAACTTACACATTGTCATCCTCTGGATCAAAGGATTAAAGATTGAAATAAATCAAAGATTTACCAAAGATCTTATCTAAAGATACCAGTGATATCTTTCTTTAAAAATAGATTTGTCTTAATATCTTCTGTTTTCAAACAACCTAGATTTCCCTCTATATCTCTCCTTTCCCCTTTCTAGCGAGGCAGCCCTTATAACAATTTTTTTTTACAAGACAAAGAGGAAGAAAATAAGAATAGGATGGAGGGAAATATTTAATTGAAATCATGACTATGAATGTGAATGGGATGAACCTGTCTATAAAACAGAAGAGAATAGCAGAATGGATTAGAAAGTACCATCTAATAATGTTTACAAGAAATTCACTTGAAACAAATATTTACACAGAATTAAAAGAGGCTAAAGCAAATATATTATTCTTCACCTGAACTCAGGAAAGCATGGGCAGCAATCAAGATCTCAAAGAAATAGCAAAAAAAAAAAATGCCTTAATTAGAAGAGATAATCAGAGAAACTATTTTGTTGAAAGATACCATAGTCAATGAATTATATTAATACTTAGCATATATACAATGAATGAAATGACACCTAAATGTTAAAGGAAAAGCTAAGCAAGTTACAGGAAGAAAGAGAGAATAAAACTTTAATACTGGGAGACCTCAGTGTACCGCTTTCAGAACTAGGCAAAATGGATTAACACTGGGGAAAAAAATCTGACAATATATGCAAATGTTCCATACTCATGGGCCCCAGTCTTTTCAGAGTATTAGGGGGAAATGTCATGTAACATCTCTTCTTTAAACTTGTTCTTTATAATTTCATAACATTCATTTCCAATTGTTTTGTGGTTGTTCTTAAATTTATATTGTTGTATTCATTGCCTGTATTGTATTCCTGGTGCTACTTGCTTCACATTGTATCAGTTCATGTAAGTCTTTCCATGGTTCTCTGTACTTCTATTTCTTATGGAACAATATTATTCCATTACTTTTATGTGCCCCAGTTTCTTTAGTTATTTGCCAATAGATAGGCATCTACTTTGTTTCCAGTTCTTTCCTACTACAAATAGTGTTACTATAAATATTTTGGTGACTATGGAACCTTTTTCTTGTTAATGACCTCCTTGGTCAATATGCCTAGCAGTGGAATCTCTAGATCAGAGTCTGGATGTTTTAGTTACTTTCTTTGCATCATTTCAGTTTGTTGTGCAGAACAGTTGAACCAACTGAATCCCAAAGAGATCATAAAAAAGGGAAAAGGATCCACATGTAGAAAAATATTTATAGCAGCTTTTTGTGGTGGCAAAGAATTGGAAATTGAGGGAATGCCCATCAATTGGGGAATGGCTGAACAAGTTGTGGTATATGAATGTAATGGAATAATATTGTGCTATAAGAAATGATGAGCAGGCGCATTTCAGAAAATCCTGGAACTTACATGAACTGATGCTGAGTGAAGTGAGCAGAACCAGGAAAACATTGTACACAGTAACAGCAACATTGTACGATGACTAGCTTTGGTAGACTTAACTCTTCTCAGCAATACAATGATCTAAAACAATTACAAGATTCATGATGGAAAATGCTATCCACATTCAGAGAAAGAACTATGGAGTCTGATTGCAGATCAAAGCATACTATTTTCTCTTTTTTTTCTTTCTCATGGTTTTTCCCTTTTGTTCTGATTCTTCTTTCAAAAAATGACTAATATGGAAATATGTTTAACATGATTGTACATGATAGCCTATATCAATTGTTTGCCATCTTGGGGAGGGGGAAAGGGAGGGAAGGAGGGAGAAAAAAATTGGAACTCAAAATCTTGTAAAAGTGAATGTTGAAAACTATCTTTACATGTAATTGGAAAAATAAAATACTATTAAGTGGAAAAATATACATATTAAAAAGAAGAAGAAGAATGGTCGGACCAAGTTGCAGCTCCACCAATAATGCATTAGTATGCTGGTCTTTTCATAGTATCTCCAACATTGACCATTGTTATCTTTTGTCATCTTTCCACAATTTTTTGAATGTGAAGTGAAACCTCAGGGTTGTTTTGAGTTTCATTTCTCTGGTTATTAGTGATTTGAGCAGTCTTTCATATGGTTGTTCATAGGTTGCAGTTTTGTCTTTTGATAACTGTTTGTTCACATCCTTTGGCATATTTCTGTTGGGGACCAATAATACCTTAATTATTAAATCCTATGGGTTTTTTTTCTCATTCTTCAACCTTATTTTTCTCTCTGCTGTATTTGACAATCTTAACTGGTCTCTCCTAGCTACTCTCTCTCTTCTCTAGATTTTTGTGGCCTTACTCTCTCTTGGCTCTCCTCCTGCCTGTCTGACTACTCCTTCTAATTCTCTTTGGCTATATCATCTCTCATGTAATATCCTATATCTCTGGGTGTACATCACGGCCCTGTCGTGGGCCATATTCTTTTTGTCTATTTTCTTTCTCTTAGTAATCTCATCGCTTACATGGGTTTAATTATCAACTCCATGCAAATGACTCATAAATATATGTATAATGTTATTGTTGTTCAGTCATTTAGTTATGTCTAACTATTCATGACCCCATTTGGGGTTTTCTTGGCAAAGATACTGGAGTGCTTTGCCGTTTCCTTCTCTAGCTCATTTTACAGAAAGCTGAGGCAAACAGGGTTAAGTGACTTGCCCAGGGTCACATAACTAACAAGTGTCTGAGGCTAGATTTGAATTCAGGAAGATGAGTCTTCCTGACCCCAGGCCTAGCGTCCTATCCACTGTGCCACCTGTCTGCCCATGTATAATAATAGCTAGAATTTATACAACACTTTAAAGTTTGCAAAGAATACTAATATG